TTTTACCTTCATTGTTGATACTGAGTTTTTCGATACGAAAGATTGAATTTTCAAATTTATTATTTAATGACTCATTTGACAATCTTAAATTTGGTTCTTTATCTTAAATGTAAAAAAAGATATATTTTATTAGATTAGATACCAACAATTTAATAGTTAAGAATTATTATTCATAACAATGATTAATTATGATAATTATACCAACTACTGTGATTCATTAGTTAGGATAGTCTTATTATAGGAAGTGATACTAACAAAAATAACAATTTTAATTTAATAATAGCAATAATAGCAATAACAACAATATTTTGAATGGAAATATTATTATTATTATTATTATTATAGGAAGTGATACTAACAAAAATAACAATTTTAATTTAATAATAGCAATAATAGCAATAACAACAATATTTTGAATGGAAATATTATTATTATTATTTTAATCTTCTAACCTTCATTTAATGGCTTATCATGTTCAACTTGAGACCTAAATTAATTTATAAAATAGTTTAGTTTACTATCAAGTATTTTTTAGTTTTTTATCTTTAAATAAACTTATAAATATTTAAAATAAATAAATTTTAAAAATAGGTTACTTGAAAAATAATGTCTTAAGTAATAATTTTAATTTAGTAGTTAACTAAATAAAGCTTTAGGTTTAGTGGTAAGCCAAGATATAAAATATGAAGTCTAAATAAAGTTATGTACTAAGTAATAACAAGGTTGAAATAACAACAAGTAATAACAACGTTGAAATAACAACAAGTAATAATAATGTTGAAATAACAACAAGTAATAACAACGTTAAAATAATGTTAATCATTAAGATCTAGATTAAGTTTTCTGAGATTAGGCAAAGTTAAATTTTGTGTTCTAGGCTATTTCTGTTATTTTCTTCTTGTATTTTTTCAAATGGTTTTTTACAATAGAATTTTTAAATACCTAATATCAAATACTATTATACTCAAAAATTTATTGGTTTTCAAAAATATTGTTCTACTTAACTAAACATGCTAATGTTAAATTTAATATATATTTTAAAAACTTGAAAAAAAAGAAAGGTGAATTAGTGTACAGAGTCTCATAGAAATCAATCCTAGGTTCATTCTTATATTATATATTCTTCAAATTTATGCATAAAGAATATTCAAAGTATATTTTATACTTTCTGTTGTTGATGACTAGTTGTTAAAGTTTATTATATAATTAGAAGGAGAAAAAATTCTTTAATTTTAATCAATTTACTGAGTTAACCAAAACAAATATACAAAAATACTATTATTTATTATACTGTTTTCAAAATTCAGCTTTGAATATATACATTTTTTACATTAAGCGCAATGTTTAAACATTTGTGCTTTCCAATTGGAACTGTTTTGCACTTTAAAACATTAAAAATACCACAACAAGTTTGTTTAATTTGTTCACTAATCATTGAATTTGTAGAAACATTGTTAAACAAATTTAAAATTAGTGTTTGAGCTTATGGTTTCGAAATCATTGTTTAACGAATGTTAAACAGATGTTCAAACTCATTGTTAAACAAATACCAAAAACTATTTTTCAACCAGTATTCACCAAATTATTATATTCAATTTTCAACAAATGTGTGAAAAGAAGTTTTCACAATTGCAAAAAATTAATTAAAACTAAAGCCAATTATAATTAACTAAAAATAACACAAATACATTTAATTACAAGTTGGATAAACACAGCTAATTGCAAATAACACAAAAACAACTGATTCCAAATAACACAAATATACAGCTGTGGATATAATAATACCACAACAACAAAATGTGAACACCAAAAAAAAAATAAAAAAAAATTTTTTTTTTAATGGTGAAATTTGATCATTATTTTTAATGATCAAATTATTTTTAATGATGAAATAATACCTTTTTGAGTATCCCTCTTTTACATTTTCAATGATCTCTGGTTTCGTTTGTCTGTAAGTATGTTCATTGTAAAATTGGTTTTGTAAGTTAATTAACTCAATATTTGAGTCACTCTGTGTTTTAACTAATGAAAGTTTTTTTTGTGAAGTAGAAAAATTCAGCTCATTGACTTTACTCAACTTTCTAAAAAAAAGTCACTGACTGTTACAAAAAAAAAATTAATTTAAAAAAAGTATATATTTATTGACAGCATTTTAATGATAAATTAAAACAAAGTATATTAAAGTCGTTTTTTTTTATGAATTCCTTAATTCAAAACTGTTATAAAAAAAGTCAATACAAATTTTTATACTACCTTGCTGTATTATTTCCTTCTATATTTTTTTCATTTTCATGAGACTGTTTTTCTGGCAATTTAATGGTAGAATCACTATTTGCTTGGCTGAATGAAAGTTTTCTGACTTGTGAAACTGAAACTTTTAACTCATTTATTTCATCTGACTCCCCTTTCTCTTTGAGTTTACTTTTTCTAACAAAATAAAAAAAATCAACGATTTTTATACTTTGATATATTCATGGATTTTATTCTAAATATTAAATAATAACTTTAGTTAGTTAATGTTTTATGAATCTAAAACGGGTGTAAAGATGTAAGACTTAATATAAAAAGCATCTCATAATTTATTTTTTTACAATTTAAGGTCCCTAATAATAAGGTCGCCCTCTGCCCTGTTTGCAGTGGCTGTTTGAGGATTATAGGGCGTGCGGGGCGAGCTGCCCCATCCCCAGCGCTCCCTAAGCCGGGTTACTTGTGCCCCCTTAAATATTTCTTATCACATAATTCTGCGGTTATTTTAAACGGAAATAAAAAACTTGGTAACTAGTGATCATCGCTTACATACCTGGTTTACAGTTTTGCATGCATTTATAGTAGGAGACAAAACGAAGACGTTTTGTTTAAAGAATATATCTTTTATTATTATCAGGTGCAGCATTTTTTGATGTTTGAGACTTTCAGACATTGAGCAAACTCCAAAAACTTATATGTTTATACTTATATCAAATAAGGATGCTTTGCAAAAAATGCGATGATTGGCGCCTGGGAGAAAAAAAGCCCTAAAATGTTAGCTACACCTACCCCAAACATGAGAGCAACAAGTTGATAAAATAATTTTTATTATATTCTTAACCAAGTTTATACCCATCGATAAATTTTAAAAATTACACAATAATCTTTTAGGGTTCAAGGCCATAATTGTTGAATGCTAAGAGATTATTGTTTTAAAATTTATCGATGAATATAAACTTGTTTAAGAATAGTATAAAAATATTTTATCAACTTGTTGCTCTCACGTTTCGGGCAGGTATAGCTAAAATTTTAAGGCTTTTTTGTTCCCAGGCTCTAATCATCGCAATTTTTTGCAAAGCATCCTTATTTGATATAAGTATAAACATATAAATTTTTAGAGTTTGCTCCATGTCTGGATGTTAGGTATCTCAAACATCAAAAAATACTGCATCTGCGCCTAATCATACTGTACTCAGTCGATTTTAAACATAATTTGGTGTATCAAAACTACTGTGACAGATTTTCAAAACTACAATGACTTTACAAAAGGTAAACGACCTTTTGTTTAAAGGAGAAAAGCAAAAAATTATTAAATAACTGATTTCAACAAAGTGGAGCAATTTCGGTTTGTTATTATTAAAAATGTTTTAGGCAAAAACCCGTATGGTACCCTCTTCCAACTTGAAACCTACTAGCACCGGCCCTTTCTTCAAAGATGTGTATACATCAATATCTCTAGCAACGACAACTGAGCTACAAATGAAAGAAGTGCATTCATTTTTAATAGATGATATCATGTTTTCCTAACTTCCCTATACTCTACAAATTGACTTGACTCTTCTTTTTAATCTGCTTATGATGAGAGAAGTTTCAGAAGATCTGGCACAGACTTAAGATCAAAAGTTATCTATGATTAACAATAAAAAAACAATTTCTTTTTGAAATTATTTTTTTATTGTTAATCATAGATAATTGACATTAATTTCAATTGAATATGAGCTTGCTGAGCATATTAACTTTGAATTTTAAATAAGTCATTTTGTTTCAACCCAGCAGGCACAGACGTACGTAAGACGTCTATACAAAGCCATATAAATCTCACAAGTCTGTATAATGTTCTCATACGTCCAACGAATGTTCTGTACCCACTAAAAATGAAATCTTGAAGAAAAAAACTTCATAAACTAGCAGGAAAGCAAATTTTTTTTTAATGCTTGCTTTCAGTAACATCTTCAGTATAAATATATTTTTAAATAGCTAAATCATTGCAATAATATTAAATGTTTTTTTAACGATAATTGTTTACCAAAGTAAACTTAGCAAACTCAAACTTTAGGTTGTTTATTGTCTTAGACGTACTTAACAGTTATTCACATAAAAGCATCCATGAAATACATTTATCACAAGTGCTATTCTCGAAAAAAAATGTTTCTATGGGTTGATGTGCCAATCTTGTTGCCCTCTACTCCTTTCCTTAGCCCCCACAACGCTAAACCTCAATCCGCCACTGTCCGCAAGCCACGTTACTGATCACCATGAAACGTTTCAACCTTTCAAAAAATGTGAAAAACTAAGTAATCCTAGAAAGAAATTGAGGATTTAGGAATGTACGCAAGAATTGTTATTTAAGATGCAACTAAAAGATACGGCAAGTTTCTGGTACGTTATTACCAGAAATATATGGTAATATAAATACACGATTAAAACTATAGTATTAATTTTTTGCAATACGTTTTATTTGACATTGTACTTTTTTCAAATAAAAATAAGTTAAAAATTTGTGTTAAAAATGAGTTGTGTATAAAAATGAGTTAAAAAACAGAAACTTTTTTTTTCTGCTCGTGATGAAACTAAAGTTTTTTTCTCGTGGCACAGTGGGTCAGATCTCAAAAAAGCTGGTCAAAAAGGAAAAAAAAAAATTTTCGATACGGTACTTTTGGACTATCAGGTTGGCTTCAGTGATGTTGGGACTACTTAATGCCGGGTATCCAGAAGATCAGCTGTTCATTTCGTGCGCTATATTGCAGATCGAACGCGGCAGTCCTTTGCTATTGTACTTGCGTACGTTAAAGCTAAAAAATCGTTTTTTTTTCAAAAATAAATATTTTTGTTGTGTGCTCGTGAAACAAATTTTTTCAATATGGAATTCGTTTCACAAGGTATGTACTAATTAAAAAACAAAAATATTATTATTAAGTCATTAATTATAAAGGTTTTTTTTTTAATTAACTTAATACAGAAAAATATTTTAGAAAATTAGAAATAGAGATAAGTTACGAATTCCACGATATTCCACTTTCATTTGCATTGTGTTTGTACGTATGCAGTATTTTTTTTGTAATTTAACATTCAAACTCACCTACTTGTACCAACTCCACTTTTAAGCTATGTTTTATATGACAGTTGCAAAATGCCGTTATTGAGACATCTTTAAAAATGAAAGTAAAATTATTTAATTATGAGCTACATTTGTATAATTTTAATTATAATCGATGTCTAGAAGCATTATAAAGAAGATTAAAAGTAGAAAAGGACGGGAACAACGCATTCTCCTACACAGTGAGATGAATAACTTAGAAAAGGACAGTGATCGCTACACACACCGCCACACACACACCGCCACACAGTAGTTACCATTTTCCAATCTTCAAGATATGATTCCATACCCTTTTTTTTTTCTTGTTTCATATTTTAAACTGAATAATTGGTTATTTTTTTAATGACATTATTAATATTAAAAAATATTTTTTATTAAAAAAAGTTATTAACTTCATAATTAAATTAAGAAAAAATTAAATATAAATACAAACATTGTACATATGTTTTTTAGCGCTTTTAAGTATTTAATAAATGAGTTAATAAATAAATACAAAATAATGCATAAATTGATAACTAAAATAAAAGTTGTATTTGTATTGTATTGAAAGTATTTATATAGTAATTTATATTTATCTATACAGTAATTATAAATGTAGCAAAACAGTAATTTGTATCTAATTTATACAGTAATTTAAATATTTAAGTCATTATCTTTTTACAGTATGGATAGAATTCATTTATATTACTGGATAATACATTATACATTTTTATTAAAATTAGAATATCAAAATAAATAATTTAGTTAAAAGTTTGGTCGCCGTTTACGGACTTTCGAGTTTACGGACTTATTACAAAGCAAACGATTTGGAAATGGATGGAATTCATTTAAATGATGGTATAAATACAATTATATATTTTATTAAAATAAAAAGTTAAAAAATTAACTAAATATTGAGTAAATACATTTTAAATAAGTATACATAGATTTTTTAAATTTAGGATTATTAGATCCACCCGTTGCCGTATATGGACTTTCGAGGAATCGAGGAAAGAGGTCTTTATTATAACAAAAGAATATTTTTCAAACGATTTGCAAGTAATCATAGAACATTTGGAAAAGTCATTTACTGAAAAGATTAGATATGTAATTTCAATTCGCGACAAAATGAGACCTACTATTTCTGTTTTAATGACAAAGTTTAGAAAGAAATATAAGGAAGCAGCTCAACGACAAGATTACTTTTTCAAAAAGAACGAAAACTGGTTAAAAACTTCAGTATATTTTCAGATTGATGCAAAACGTGCAATTGTAAATAAATCAACGGGTCGACCCACCGGAAGTTTCGAAACTTTATCTGATAGGTCCAAAAGAAGGAGGACTAAAGAGATGCGTACGAAGTTCAGTCCTGCCGAACTATCATTTGCTACGCAAATGAGTCTTCGATCTTCAGGGCATTCAGACGCTGCTAAAATTGTGAATGACGTTACACTGTCAAGCCCATTCAAGGCAACAAAATACAAGGAAAGTTTGCAACTATTATTATCATTGTCAGCCTTTTATTATGCAAATGAAGCTCTAGTACTTTTTTTAGACCTAGGTTTGACGAAAGATTTGTACCAGTATTTGAGAAATCAGGCAAAAAAAAAGGCTTAAATACATTTTATCCACCATACTCAGCTGTATTGGCAGCAAAAAATTGTTGCAACCCTCCAGACGGCACCTTAAAATTTACCGAATCAAAAGCTGAAGTACAGTTGCAAGCTTTATTAGACCACACCGTTCAACGTATTTTACTGCTGAACCAAGACAATATTACATATAAGAGTGATTCAGAAATATTAAATATGACTTTGATTTGTAAGTGGGGCTTTGACGGAACATCCGGAAAAAGCATTTATAAAATGACTTTTGAAGATCCGAATATATCAGATGCAAGTTTATTTTTTACTTCGCATGTTCTATTGCAACTTGTAGGTGTAAATCAAGAAACAAGAGAAGAAAATCTCTTATGGAGTAATCCGAAGCCATCTTCAACCCTCTTTTGCAGACCTCTAAAACTGCAATTTACAAAGGAAACTGAGGAAACTTTTATAAATGAGAAAACGCATTTTAACAAACAGATTGAACAACTCCAACCATTAAAACAACCATTCATATGAAAAATGTTTTTATTCAATACAGTTTAAGTATGACCATGTCAGATGGTAAAGTATGCAATGCTATCACCAACACAAAATCTGCGCAACGGTGTTATCTCTGCCAGGCAACTTCCAAGCAATTTAATAATATTGATGAAGTTTTGCAAAGACCGGTAACCACTGATTATCTACAGTACGGACTGTCAACTCTACACGCCTGGATTCGATGTTTTGAATGCTGCATTCATTTGGGATACAAAAAAAAAAAATACGAAAAAATGGCAAGCGCGTAAAGAAGAAGATAAGCAGGAAAAAGCAACAATGAAAGCTAGCATCCAAAAAGCTTTCAAACAGCAACTAGGAATTTTAGTCGACATGCTAAAGCAAGGGTTGGGCAGCACGAACGACGGAAACACCGCTCGACGTTTCTTTGAAAACACTCAAACGTCATCCTTGATAACTGGTGTTTCCGAAGAATTAATCCACCGTTTTCATATAATTTTGCAAACAATTTCGAGTGGAAATGAAATTGAGGTTGAAAAGTTTCGAGGTAACGTCTTAGCAACTGCAAGACACTATATCAAAGAATATCCCAGGCACAACATGCCAACATCAGTACATAGATTGCTGATCCACGGACCAGATATTATTTCTTCGGCCATTTTACCCATTGGTCAACTGTCCGAGGATGCTCAAGAATCAACCAATAAGTTAATAAAGCAATATTGTTTGGGTTTTTCTCTAAAGTTTTCAAGAATTAAGACTATGGAAGACGTGTTCAGGAGATTGTTGGCAACCACAGACCCCTACATTTCATCTCTGCGAAAATCAACACCAAAAAAATTGAAGACTTTGTTGCCAGAGGCTGTTGCCCTCTTGGTTCCTGTAACAGAAAATTATGAAGACTCTGACGCAGATTCCGATGAAGCAAACTTTGAATATAATAAAGATTTCAACAAAGAGACAGATCAAGATGGAAAAGAACCAAAATGATTATAACTGAAACAAAATGTTTTTTCTATATTTAACACAATCTTCCATCATTTGATCCATTTTTTAGCATTTACGGACACATTGGATCCACCATTTTGTTTTTCAATTTTTTTTAACTTTTTTTTGTCAAATTTTTAATTTGTGGCCTGAAAGAACCTTTAAAACCCATTTATAAACAACTTAAACAATTTTTTAACATATATATCCGCCATTTTGTTTTTCTTTTTTTTTTTAAGCAAAATTTTAATCAGTAACTTCAAAAAATATTTGCCATGAAATTTCAGGCAAATCATTCAACGTTTTCTTATTTTGACCAGCTTTTTCGATATCTGACCCACTGTGCGTGGTGACGTTAGTTACGTTAGGATCGTTTAATCGTTTATTGCGAAAAAATAAACGAAATGTTTAAACAAAGAACTAAAAAAAAATGCTTGCTATAGAGCTTCAAAAGAAGTTTTGTGATAAACCCATAGAGGCTTAGTTAAAGCTGAAACCATTAATTTTGCGGTCTACATAAGGCTAAATTTAAAAATCGCTCTTGACATTTATAAAGTAATAAAACTTTTAATATTCAACAACCTAATAATTTCTTACTTGCGTATATTAGCAACACATGCTTACAACTTTTTACTCATGTTTATAACCAATGAAATCTTATTTGTATATATAACCAATACAACCTAACAACCTTATACTCATGTATATAAGCAATACAAAATATGTCTGCGTGTTATTAAAACTATAAACATAGCAAATGAAAAACTTTTACCTTTCTTTTTTTTTTTTCCTTTTCTTTACTTTTGATTTTTCAACATCTTCAGAGTTTTCTTTTCTATTAAAACCATATTTCAATAAGGTTATATATACAAAATTATATAAAATAAATTATATATATGTATATATATATATATATATATATATATATATATATATATATATATATATATATATATATATATATATATATATATATATATATATATATATATATATATATATATATATATATATATATATATATATATATATATATATATATATATATATATATATTTAAACAATTTAAAATGTATTCTACAAAAAGAGTGCTCAATGTTCTTAAAAAAACAGAGCAATTAAAAATTAGTAGAAAATCACTTAGCAAAATTTTTTCTCATTTAACACTGTCTTTCATCAATAAAGACTCATCAGAAAATCAGATTTTGAAACACAGTGTTAAATGAGAAAAAATTTTGCTTAGTGATTTTATACTAATTTTTAATTTATATATATATATATATATATATATATATATATATATATATATATATATATTTTTTTTTTTTTTTTTTTTTTTTTTTTTCTTTTTCTTCTGTATTGTATTTTTATAATATATAAACTCAAACCTTTCGTTTATATAATATTTTGAATTAGTTTCTTTATCTAAGTGCCAAGTAACAGCATTTAACTTTTGGTTCTTTATTTCGCTCTCTTTTTTTTGATACAAATCACTTTTTATCATTTCCTCGTTTTTTAGTAAAGTTTTATTCATGAAAAATAACTTCAATTTTTAAAAAACTTTTTTATTCTGATTCTTCATTTTGTGATTTTACATATGTTTAATATTTTACGTTCGTTTAATATTAATTAAATATTTTATGTTGAACTGTTTCACGTTTCATATTGATAGCATGATATTAAAATCTGTTTCTTTGATACCAATTGATACTTTAAAACACTACGGCCCGTAATTAACACGCAACGGCCCGCAAGCTAACTTCTGCTCAGTAAAACATTAAATCCGGCAACTTACATAATAATATTATGTTAAAAAAAATTACACTTAAAATAAAAAAATCACATTTTTAATCGTTGAAAAATTGAAAACTTATTCATCTCTGTACGAAAAACCTTTGCTTGTTTTTTGTGTTACGCAGTAAACATGGTTCACAACTTTTCATCAAATGCACATTAAATCTTTTTTAAACAATTGAACACTGTATTTTGAAAACGTGACGAGTCACATAATTTAAATTTTACAGGAGAGTGAAAAATGTTTCTCCTGTAAAAAATTGTATGAAAATTTTTTTTGTATTTTATATAAAGTAATGAGTGTTTACTTCTTACATCATAAATCAGAGAAATTTTTTTATCCTAAGTTCAGCTTTTCCTAAAAAAAAATATTTTTTTCAAATAACCTCACTTTTGAAAAAAGTGTGACTCGTCACGTTTTCGAAATACAGCGTTCAATTGTTGTTTGTGGGTATTTTTATATTCAAGTCACTCCGGCGATAGGGGCCGGCGATAGGGGGTGCATGAGGTAGTGTCACCCCCCCTTCCCCCAAACACTAAATCTTAATCGGCACAAACAAGGCCACAACAGTCAGTCGGCAAAAGTTGATATGCAGTCGGCAAATTTTAAAAATCAAGGAGTTTTTTTATTTTATTTTTTATTTTTTTAAGTCGGCAAAAGTTGTAAGGGCAACCCCTCCCCCCTCACGTGACACCTACTCGCACCGGCCCTGAACTCACTATGCATGTATGTAAAACGTTTCTAAAATGTTTTAACGCTTAGAAAAATTTTCAACATTATTTTTACCGTTAAATAAATATTATACAAAAGTTATTTAAAATAATAAATAAAGTTATAATAAATATTATATAAAAAAATACAATGCGCATAAATTAAGCCATTTATGTTAAGCAATATTTTTTTTCTATGAAATAATTGAAATTGTATTTTCACATTTCACAAATTATGTTTGTATATAATTGTAAATAATTAGTGTTGTTAGAAAACATTAGTTTGAAATTAATTATTTTAAAAAACATAATTATCTCAGTTTTGAAATAAATTATTTTTTTTATTAAAAAAAACAAATTGTTGATTAAAATAATATTAAAACTATCAAAAAAATTCAAGTGACTACCATCCAATACAAAACTAGGGAAAAGGTAGATAACATAGGGAAAAGGTAAATAAACTAGGGAAAAAATAGATAACACATATTAAGCCGTTTTATAGCAAATATTATATGATTATTTACGACAAGTTTCATATCGAATTCAGTAACAACACTTGAACGTATATCCAATAAACGTTGTTGTGTACTTCATGATGTTTCAATTAAACACTGTGTAACGCTTTGCTTGAATCGAGACAGCAGGCAAAGACATATCTTCCATTTGATCTAAAGAAATCAACTACTTATTTCAGTACTTAGTCTTTTTGATAATATTGTGAATTTCAGTTCCAGTTAGTTTCAAAACTGAACAATCAAGGCTAGTTGATTTATTAGTGTTATTCACCGTTTACTGGATTGTGAGAAAACGGACATGCTTATACAGTTAGAAGGGCAAAAACACGGTAGTTATTTGCTTGAGAAATATCACCAGATTTATTTTCAAGTAGTGGTACAATAGTTGTTTGCACCATATTTAATTGAAAATTGAAAATAGCAATGAGCCACGCACGTATTAAATAATAGTGCTACATGAATAAACAATAATTTCCCTCCATTTTTAACAGTTCTTGATGCTATACAATTGCATCTTTGTTGATTTTTAACCTAGTCATAGCCAAGCTCAAAGTGATTTATAACATAAATACTGGAGGTACATATAACGTAAATGCTGCATTAATGGAGAACTCAGACAATAAATCACTATTATAAGTTTTAAGTAGTAATTTTATGGTTAATCCAGAAATCATATATATATATATATATATATATATATATATATATATATATATATATATATATATATATATATATATTTAATGACATTTTAATAGTATGATGAAATATTCAGAATGATGAAATAATGGTTCCAATGGTGAGCCATCACTAGGTTGCCATTATCCCAGTTTAGAATTTTATTTTTTTGGTAGCAACATTGCAATCGGTCTATTTTAATTGCCTCCCTGATTTTTCTAGTATAATTATTTGGGATTACTGAAAGTGTTTTAGGATTAATACAAATTAATTGTATTTTGGAAATGTTATGCAAGTTCAACTTTCCAGACACTTTCCAGTTTGCTTTAGTCACGTTTGTTTGATGTTCAATTATTCGTGTTATTACCTTTTTCCTGGTTTCTCCCACATAATAAGCATCACATGTACATTCAAGTTGGTAAAAACTAGGGTAATGAAAACTGTTTTTATGCCAACTTTTCGAAACTCAAGTCTAAGAATAAGGCTTAATTTAGGAATCCACGGAAGTTTTATGGTATTGTTTGCGTTAATTTCCAATGGGCATTGGACCAAAAAAAGACGTCTTTTGAACGTTCAAAATACGTCTAAAACGTTCAAAATACGTTCAACAGACGTCTAAAACGTGTATAAGACGTTTAAAAGACGTCTTTTTAACGTCCGTGTCCATTGGTTTTGTTGGCCGTTTTTTAGTTGGGCTGGTTTGTAATATTTTACAATGTGTAGAAGTTTTTGCCAAGAATATTCATTTTCCATAAAAATATTTATTAGGTACTCAACTTTTTTTTCTAAATAATCAGTAGTGCGTAATTTATAAGCTCTTGCAAGAAAACCTTTAAAAATACCTATTGCAATATATGATGATATACACCATTGCGGTTTTACAAGTACAATCGTTACTGCATTCTTGCGGTAGGTTTTGGTTTTGGTTTTTTTCTCTAATTTAAGTGTACATTCTTCTGTTGACATTACAATATCAATAAATGGTAATTTACTTTGCATTAAAATAAATAATGGACCTAGATTTAATAATTTTTCGTCTTCAGCTGTGATTGATTTAGTTGATAGGTTTACTCAGTAACGTAGGAAGGTTTTTAATTTTTTGAAATAACCAACTTTTATACAAAAAAAATATTCCAAATTTTTTTACGTTCGTATGTATGAAGAAAAGGTTCTTCAAAAAAAAATATTTCTGTGATAGGAGAATGGGAACAAAAAACCCTAAAATCTTAGATAATCCATTCCCCTCCACACACACACACACACACACACACACACACACACACACACACACACACACACACACACACACACACACACACAAAAAGTGAGGGCAATGAGTTGAATTATTTTTTTTTTTTATTAATATAAACTAGTTATGTATTCATCAATAGATTTCAAATTTTATTTTTAAATTATTCAGTGTTCAGTTTTAATGATTATGTAAAGAATACCCTCCCTCAATTTGAGAGGGCCTCAAATTTTACATGGTCATAAAAACTGAACACTGAATAATTTAAACATAAAATTTGAAACTTAACTTAATTATATAAAAACTTATCTAAGATGTAAACTTTTAAATGTTTTAAAAAATGTTTTAAAATAACAAAAACACTATTAATTGAAAAAACTTTCTAATCATCTCTTTCTCTATCTCTCTCTCTCTCTCTCTCTCTCTCTCTCTCTCTCTCTCTCTCTATATATATATATATATATATATATATATATATATATATATATATATATATATATATATATATATATATATATATATATATATATATATATATATATATATATATATATATATATATATATATATATATATATATATATATATATATATATATATATACAATTGAAAAAGAAAGTGATTTCACACAATACATTTTCTTGAACTCTCAATAACAAATAACAAATCCGGAACATATCTTTTTACTATTTATCGCAAAGATACAATAACAAATGTGCAAATAAAGCCGCCTTCCTGTCATGACCCAAAAATAGTTTATGGTATATTTAAAGGTTTTATCCAAAGAGCTCTGGCATAATGCAGTTAAGAACATATAAATCATGAAACAAAGCTTCTAAAGAAATGTTCATATAAAATAGTTATAATTAAAAAAATACTTGAAAGGATTGTCAAAAAAATAAAAAATAATATGCAAAATAATCAACACAACAACAACAATAACATCAAAAAACTAGAATTTAATTATATTTCTCTGCCATGGGTACCAAAATTAATTATTCAAATAAAAAAGATAATCAAAAATGCAGGCTATTTTCCACTCTTTAAATCACCCAAAAATGTTTAACAATTAATATAAAACAAGCCTCAACTTTCCAACAACTCTTATCCTGGAGTCTACAAACTGGTATGTTTGTGTGGAAAATTCTATGTAGGTGAAGCAAAACACAAGGTTGCTAACATCAAAAACATACTTTTGAGAGAAAATGGAAAAATTCGGCCGTGGCATGGCGTTCCAGAAATTGCCATGATGTTTTTTTGCTGAAATAAAAACAAAACGGTTAAAGTAGAGGAAGACTATTTCAAGAGAATAGTGAGAGAGTCTTTGGAATTACAGTATCACAAGCGTTCTCCAAAACGAAGACGACGGTGATTACGTCACATCGTTGTTTTGAAACCTTATTTTTCTTATTTAAGACGCAAGAAGACATTGCATTAAAGTTTTATTATTTGTTTATTTTTTAACGGCTTTTTTATATTACGTAAATATTCCTCTAGAAATATTGTATTTTAATATAAAGTATTTTACAAGGATAAGTTTACATGCTATAACAGATGTTTACCCAGTAGCGTAGCGAAGGGCCCGCAGGGCCCGCAGCCGCGGGGAGGCCCAGAGTTATTAGGGGCCCAAGGCAACAA